CCCCAAAGTCGCTTGACCACGGTGAAACGAGTGAGAGCTTGCGAGAGCGGCCAAAGTGTGATTGAAACTCGATATTTGCTCTTCTCCAACGCAAAATAAGACGACATTGTGCTGGATAAATACATTTTTTCCGACAAAAGTACAGAAAATTTGCAAATGGTCTTTTTATATTATACTTTATGGAATGTTACCCGAGTGACTTCCGGGCGCCCCAATGCTGGAAAGAAACGCACATTTTAGAAAACTTCACTTTTTCATGGAAAAGTGCTCATTTCTTCTATGCACGCAAGTCAGATTGAGCGGATGATACAACGTTTCCATATGTCATCGTCATCATCATCAATATCATCCTCATCGTCATCATCATCATCATTATCATCCTCATCGTCATCATCATCATTATCATCCTCATCGTCATCCTCATCGTCGTCATCGTCATCATCGTCATCATCATCATCAGCATCATCATCATCATCAATATCATCCTCATCGTCATCATCATCACCATTGTCATCCTCATCGTCATCATCATCATCATCATCATTATCATCCTCATCGTCATCATCATTATTATCATCCTCATCGTCGTCCTCATCGTCATCATCGTCATCATCATTGTCATCATCATCACCATTATCATCCTCGTCGTCATCATCATCATCGTTATCATCCTCATCGTCATCATCATCATCATTATCATCCTCATCGTCATCATCATCGTCGTCATCGTCATCATCGTCATCATCATCATCAGCATCATCATCATCATCAATATCATCATTATCAATATCATCATCATCGTAATCATAAATCATATTCGACCTTTACCAAGCATAACAGTATACCACTCTAGTTGCATAATAGTGAAAATACCACAAAAATAAGCATGTACTCTGTAATCAGTGAAGCGCTCACGACCCTCCGCATATTTTCTATTTAAAAAGGCCTGCGGGCAGTTTCATTGGCCCCCAAACGATGGTTTAATCATTAACGATCAGGTCTGAATAGATGAGGTCGAATAGTCGAACCTTAACACACACAAAAAAAGTATTTATAACTCTGAGTTATTTCTATCACGTTTATAGCTTGGGAATAGTTGATCTTTGTGTTTGAAATATTCAATTCCAAGTTCGTTGTGTTATTTTTTTTCATTTCATCTATAGAAATCGAGTTCATATCACTAAAAGTGTTCGGTTCAAGCTGTTTTCAATATGTATACCTTAATATTGTTGTAAATGGTTATAATTGATTTGTAATGTTTTGTTAGAAACATAAATAAAATTGAACTGAATTGAGTTGACGACCGTCCAGAGCATGGAACCGTAGGTTTCCAGTCCGTTATTTAAAGGTAAAGACCAGTTATGGTCATGCGATTGCATTGTGAAAGAAACGTTGTGGAATCGATCAGAAAAGGTTGATCATCTAGCATCTAGCATCTGCAAGGTTCTGGAATCATCAAAGTGATAAGAAATTTGGCCCATTCTTTGTAAAGTTACAAGCACTATACACAGAAAGTTGTGTATGGGACTACCCTATATCTCTCACAGACCATGAGAGAAACAAATTTCCCGGCAAATTTGTTATCATCATGTATTAGTCAAAACATATTCTTTCACATGATTGGCAATGAGAGCTTCCATTTCATTTTTTGAAATTGGGGCGTTTCCAATACTGGTCTTTACCTTTAAACGAATCGGCTGATTCACAGAGTTCCAGCGCGTTTGCAATGACCCATTTTCCGCTGCACTTTCAAGTATACCAAGGTGACATTTGGTCTTTGACAACTTTTCTGTGGTTTTGTGTTTTTGTGTTATGAAACACCGGCGGCGGCGTCGGCGGCCTGGCACAGTAACAATGGTATCAGCTATCTTCAAGATCGAAATTGTATTAACAATAATTACAGGGAGTGGCAAAACGAATGGAGAGAAAGAAATCCAGTTTGTTCGTTTTCTTTGTGTAGGCATTCAGGGTCTTCAAGTACACACACTCGTGTATAATACATACCTTGTAATTTTATTTGTCTTCGAAATCGACACTGTATTATTACAATTATTTATATGACATAGGAAGTGGCAAAGAAATTGATAAGGGGTGTTTCACAAAGAGCCTAAGTCGAACTTAACTCTAAGTTTGACTGAAACATTACGGAGAGCCATTTGTAGCCAATAAAATATATTCAAAAGCAAAAATTATTTTAAGGATTTTAGACTTTTCATAAATTCCACATTAAGGACATGAATTGCTCTTGAAATAACTTTTACAACAGATTTTCAAAGTTGCTAACGGTTTTCCATAATTGTTAAGTCGGCCAGTTTAAAGATAAGTTCAACTTAGGATCCCCCCCCCCCCCCCCTGTTTTGCTTTTTTTTTTGTCCAAGCGCTCATGAACGGAAAACCACGTTTGGATAATATACATATTATATGTAATTCACTTATCTTCAAAATCAAAATTGTATTAAACGTGTATTACTCAAGTTTCTTTTTGCCGTGCCAAAGCCTGTGTGGACCACTGGACGGGACTTGTGTAGTGACTCGATAAGAAGAAGAGGGAGTGACAAAACGCACAGGACAGAAGTCCGTTTTGTTCGTGATATGTTTTGTTTCTGTGAGCATTCAAGAAAATAATACCGTGTACGAATAATTTATGCATCGTATTTGCATTCATTTTCAAAATGGAAATTGTATTAAAAGTGTTTATCTTACTGTTTATCTAATACAAAAAAGTGACAAAACGCACAGACGTCGAAAAGTCCATTTCGTTCAGTTTCTTTATGTGCGCATATTCACAAGCACAAAACCTTGTACGGTTATTAGGCCTATAGTGTTCATTTATTTTCAAAGTCGAAATAATATTAAAGTTGTTTATTTAGCTATGGTGATGAAACGCCTGCAGTGAAGTTGTCTGTTAGCCCCCCCCCCCCCCCCCTCCCGACACAATACCTTGGTCTAAATCATGGACACGTTATTGTTTATCTTCAAAATCGAAATCGTAATGCAACTACTTATTCTTCCAAGTGTTGGTATTGAGAGAGAAAGAGAGACAGAGAGAGAAAGGGGAGGGAGGGGGTTAAAGATGGAGGGAGAGAGAGAGAGAGAGAGAGAGAGGGGGGGAGGGAAGGGGTATATAGAGATGGAGTGAGGGAGGTGGGATGGGGGCATGAAGGAGGGAGAAAGATGCATGGAGGGAGTCATTTGTTCGATGTTTTTCAACGAATATCAGGGCGAGTTAGATAGAGCAGCGAAAGAAATGATCTCTTTTCTTCATAATTATCTTTGTACGCGCATTGAAATAGAACGGAAACTTAAAAATATACATCATGCATCTGTTTTCACAATATTTTGTTTAAATATATATTTTTTAATTCCTCATTTTAGCGAGTGATCTCATGCTAAAGAAGAGAAAATGTCAATTTTTTTCTTCTTTTTATCAATTTTGTGCGTGAGCGTTCAAGAGCATAAAAACAGTGTCTAAACGCATTTGATTTATCTTCAAGATATAAATATTCGGAGTGAGATAGATCACTTTAATCGTGCTCGTCCCTTTGTGTACGCTATATTATTATCAGTTATCTTCAAAATCAAATTGTATCATTCTGGAGAAAGAGAGAGAGAGAGAGAGAGAAAGAGAGAGTCATAAATAATTTTGTTCATTTCTTTGTGGTTCGCATTGAATAATAGACGGGCGTGTTTTGATAAGAATATATCATTTATTTTCATAATCGAAATTTGATTAACCGCGCTTATTCAACCGTGTGAAATTTAACGGAGTAAGGAAATTGTTCGTGCGACTGTGGCCAGTTAGCAACACAATACATATGACTAAATAATAGACGCACCTTTTCTTATTTGATTTCCAAAGGTTTGTTGAAGGTGTGTTTTCTTGCTTTCTTCTTTGTGTCAACCTTCGATGAAATCAGACCTGCAGTCTGCAGGAACAAGTTTCGCTCATATTTCTCGCCATATTCTAGACCCACTCCTAAATCTAGTATGCAATCGCAGACTCCGAACACTTTATAGTAACCACAATGCCTTAAAGGTAAAAGCCAGTTATGGTCATGCGATTGCATTGTGAAAGAAACGTTGTGGAATCGATCAGAAAAGGTTGCTCATCTAGCATAGGATCTGGACTCATCAACATGATAAGAAATTTGGACCAGTCTTGGTAAAGTTACAAGCATGTACACAGAAAGATGCATATGGGACTACGCAACACGTGCGCGATATCTATCCGGTCCAAATAGATATAATAATTTACCAAATATATTAATTAGTAGGCGGTTTCCCGGCAGAATTTTTATAATCACGTATTAGTCAAAACATATTCTTTCACATAATTGGTAATAAGAGCTTCCATTTCATTTTTTTTTAAATGGGGGCGTTTCCAATACTGGTCTTTATCTTAAGCCTTGAGCAGTGCCTAAATGCCATCAATTTATTACTACAAACGTATTAATTTTTGTATATTATGTATTATGCTATGTCATCTATTGGCAGATAAAATTGTGCAGTAGTGGGATGAAAATTTAATTCAAGAAATGTTTGGTTTGAATTGGTACAAGTTAATTAAATACTGCCTGACTAATATCCTTCCATGGTCATTGCCTAATTAATTGCACATCCAAACTCTATGGCTGATTGCCATTATCAAGCGTTTCGATAATAATTATTAGACCTTTGGAAATACTCTTTATTTCAATGAGTTTTAATAATGCCAGTTTGTAAACATTAGGGTATGCCGATGCAGAGAGTATATAGAGCTTGCCAAAATAAACACATCAAATTGGTAAATGACATGAATTGGAGTGGTTTTAATTACTGTTCTGATGCAAGCTTAAAGAATAAAATTAGATATTTCTTCCAAATCATTTAAAATTTACAGAAACTTATAGGTAAATGATACTATAATGCAGGGTCTGCCGAATGTAATTTTGTTCAGATCAATAAACAATTTCAGAATTCGCCCCTAGATGGCGCCAAACTCCTGTAAGCCTTGTATAATGTTGCGGTGCAGCTCTGTTCGTATTCCATTCATTTCTGCCCACTGAAAAGCTGTGCAATTTCCACAGGATGGCCCTTACTCGAGGTAAACCACACTTTTAGCGTTTCCTTTGCCTTTGAATTAATATTCTTCCAAATTAAATATCTATGTCAGCACGATTAATAATCCGTTGAAGGTGTTGATACATTTTACAAGTTAGCCGTTGCTCCCGGCCTGCGGTACGATGGATTGGTGGTGAGCTTTCGGGAAACTGACGGCGAAGGGATTGTTGGCATCCCGTTGGTGTGTAAGAAAGTGCGACAAGAATAACCGTGTCAGAATGATGAATGAAATATCAATGACAATGCCAGAATTGGGGTATTCAGTTCAAGATTATATGCATTAATTTCATGATCTTGTTTGAATGTCATTCATTTAGCTCTAGGAATAGTTGGGGTCTATAAATGACTTGAGTTAACCTTTGTGTTTCTGATTAATTAGTATGGATGTCTGTGGCATCGTTCTTTTTTGTATGACTTTGAAATAACCTTGTGATTGTTGATGCTGTGTAATATGTGTGAAGTCTAGCCTTATTCAGTCTTTTTCACTGAGATTGAATTCTAACTTCCAAATTCCCTCTCAATGAAGGCATTCTAAGTGAAGATCACAGCAGTAAACAAAGGGGCGTGAAAGTGAAAGTGAATTGGAAGTGAAGGGGTGGGGTATTTTGTACACCCCCCCCCCCCCAAAAAAAAAAATAAAAAAAAATAAATTACATGGCCCTTGTAGATCTAGATCTAGAGCTATGTTTTTAATCTGCAAACAAATAAATTAAACAATGGAATTCTGACAGATTTTCACATCACATCAGCACCTTTTCCAAATACTACCTCTTCTGTAGTCTTTGAGTTTCAAAGTGTGCTTGTTTTATTTTTACAATTTCATATTGTTTCCTTTGAAAATAAATGATATATTTATATTAATTTAAGGCTTTAGACCTTTCTGTATTTGATTGGAGAGAAGAAAAGACATTTCATCACCTTATGCTTGTCAGAGGAATCTTCATTGTTGGTGCTATGCAGGCATTCCCACTTTGGTACCTTTTGTGGTTCTATGAAAGATAAGATCACTACTAGACCTACAAATGTAGCACTACTACCAGTTAAGCTGCCATAATTTTTTTGTTAAGTATTGCAGGGAAAAAGATGTGAAGTTAACCGTCAAGAACATTTATAAGCTCCTGAAATTATGGCATGTGATTGGCTGAGAGCAAATTTGTCGTATAAATTTACCATTAATCATGGTTAACAAGTTGTATGAAACAGAGCTCTGTTCTAAGATGAACAGAGTGGAATTCTCATTACCGGTAATAATCCTTTCATCACTGTGAAACCCTATTTATTGTAGGAATCTTCATTGGTGGTGCCCAGCTAGTGTACCACTGACGGTAGGCTACGATCGTTCTCTGAAAGAGAGGAGTGGTACCAATGTTGTGGTCATTATTGTCCAAGTGTTTGCTGGCAAGAATTTTTTTAGGCTCCAAACAAACAACAGATCAATCCTTAAATCAAGAAGACTGGGCTTCTAACTAAATTGTGTCACTCATATTCATTTTTTAAAATATAATTTCATTTTTTAGGAATCTTCATTGTCGGTGCCAAGCGCACGCCCTTCGGTGCCTTTGGCGGTGTATTGAAGGATAAGACCGGTACCGACCTTGCTGAGGTGGCGGCTAAGGCGGCGCTCAGAGCAGGCAACATCAACCCTGCGATCATCGACACCACCATCATTGGAAATGTGTCACACGTGAGAATCCCTCAGGGGCTTTCTTTTAACAATGTTAAATCTGAGATGCATGGCCCTACGTGTTATCAGTGTCTGTGACATGGTGTAAATTGCGCTTCAAAATTATCATGAAGTTCCTCAGAAAAATAAAAAGTCTTTGAGTGACCAGTTTTACTATACCGGTAGACAAATTGATAGTTCTTTCTTATTTTTAATTTTTTTTTTTTGGTCTAACTTTCACTCACCTGTCTCTTTTTTGTTGTTGCTTCTATTAAAACCAATCTAATATCAGGAGGACTTCCCCTTTAAATGGCTTTATGCACTGTACGTTGGACCTGCCCTTATACTTAATAGGTTTTGAGCCGAGTGATCTGAATTGATATGGGCTGACAAGTTGAATTTCGGTAAACACACACTGCAGAGTAAACACTCCACATGCAATCTTTAATAAATGATGTGATTAGGTATGCCTTCATCAGCTCCAGATTGCCTAATAGCCCACTATTTCTGATTTTGGAAATAATCCTGAAGTTGCAAATTCCGTCATCAGCTTCAGACTCAACCTCGAAACTTCAAACTTGAAATTTCTTGAGCTCGAGATATTTTGCTCAGAGTGCACGCTTAGTACAAGTCTTCAGGCTGGTGAAGATGCACCGGACAAATAGCGGGATATTTTGCACAGTAGCCCAAGATTTCTTGGGATGATTATCTCTACCAAATATCCCGCTAATTGCAACGTCGGGCTGATGAAGACAGGCCTATTGTTTCAGTTTCCCTCTTAAGGTCAAGAGCACCTTCTTTTAATTGTTTAATGATCAAAATAGATTTTCGATATTTGTATTTCATATTATATTAAAGATTGATTTACATTTAACAACTCATCAGGGAGGTTTTTCACAAAGACTAAGATCGACTTTGAGTTGGACTTGGCAGGCTGTTCATGCCACTGTTAGCTTTCACCATAATGATCTATATATGATATTTTTCCTTCAATAATGAATTAGCAAAAAACGTAAATTATGTAGGTTTGTGACCATGATTTGTACATGTATGTATGTCTCTTGAGAGACCAATGCCAGTAAATGGTGAGAGCAGACAGGGGCATAAAGGGCTTGTCATAGTAAAGTCCAACTTAAACTTTAAAGTCGATCTTAGTCTTTGTGAAACACTCCTTTGGTCCTATCTTTGCTCTTCTAGGGAGCCTTTTGTTCTTCCCTTTCCAAAGACTCGTAGCAAAGCTAACGTTCACTTAATGTAACAGCTACCTAAAGCATTGAACCATATCCCATGTTTCACCTAATCAGCTAATTCCACAGACCAGTTTAAGAAATTTGTGAAAACATATCTCTTCTTAAATTAGTGGAATCCCCTTTTAATAATAATAATAATATTGGATTCTTATATCGAGCACGTATCGACCTTGCAAGGTCCTCAAGGTGCTCCAACATTACCCGGCTATGCTAGGCTGCCGATTTCGACGCTCACAGCATTTAAGGAGTTCCTTCCTACCGGTACCCATTTAACACCTGGGTGGAGAGTGGCAAGTGTAGATTAAAATGTACTTATTTAAAGTTTATTTCATTATCATGTATTATTTATTCTATAAATGCTGTGATGTAGGTTTTAATAGGCTAAGTTGTGGGTCCATCTTTACATCAATTATTACTTCATTGCTTTATTTTGAAAGAATGTTATCCCTTTTCTCTACTAGACAGCACCAGATGCCGCATACACAGCCAGGCATGTTGCTCTCCGGTGTGGGGTAACAGTCTCTAAGCCTGCCCTAGGTGTCAATAGACTGTGCGGGTCTGGCTTCACCTCAATTGTATCTGCAACACAGGTAAGTTGGATACTTTATACTACATGTATATACTCAGGGGGTGTTTCACAAAGATCCCAAGTCAAAATTAACTCTAAGTTGGACTTAAATATTATGGAGAGCCATTTGTAGCCTTATAATGAATTATATTCAAAAGCAAAAAATCAAGTATTTTAGACTTTTCATAAATTCGACATCAAGGACATGATATCTCCTTCATAATAGAAAATATGAATGGTTTGAATCAACATTTTATGCCTTTTTAAATATCTTTTGAAAATTTTTCAAAGAAGCTAATGGCTTTCCATAGTTGTTAAGTCCAACTTAGAGATAAGTTCAACTTAGGATCTTTGTGAAACATCCCCCTGGATGAATAAGTTCACTCAAACCCTTTCAGGATAGGATTTATCTTAACGGCTAAATTAACCAAATATTCTTCTTCAAATTACCAACACTAATATTTTCTTCATTGATACCTTGTCAAAAAAAATTGTAATATCTCTGAAAACAATTTACATTTGCTAGAATGTTGGGGTTTTTTTAATTGAAAAAAGTGTTGAATTTTGATTGAAAAACAAAATCTCTCAACATGTTGTCAATTTCAGGACTTTTACAGACTTTTCACAGCTTACATCTAATAGTAATCAACAAAGGCCCTAATGCACCCTTTCGCGGGTACAAGAGTGCACGTGCGCCGACATGGGCGCCATTTGAAGTAGCAAGTAAATATTGCGAGTAGCCTTATTTGATGCAGCATGCAGAGCGCATGTGTTGATACGATGTGAGCGTGCGGCGCAGACAGTGACCCAACAATACATGCTCGCCTGAAAACATTGATGACGCAATGTTTACTCGCAAAATAAAATGGAGGCCTTTACCATGAAGGAGTGTATTCAACTTGTCTACCCTTTATTATTGAGTTACGTAAAAGACCCCCAAAACACATCAAATTTACAAGGGGTATGAATAATGTAGTTGTTAACCACTTGACTGCTATTGGCTAAAAATGCGTTTATAGCCCCTGTGCTACAGCATTTTTGTAAACTACACTGTACACAAAAAAGCTGGATTTTTTTCGGAGGAGCGCCATCTACTGTTTAAGACCTGTATAACGTCATTGCAGTGCTAATTACACATTAGGGCTAGGTATTATGCAGTGCTACGGTCTTGAAAGTACAATGCCCTATAAAGCATGTACATGTACGTGGTGCGCACAGGCATGCGAGAGTGAGAACATGTACATGTACATGTACGTGGTGAGCAGTCAAGTGGTTAAGACATTCAGGCGTGGGTATATACATGTAGTCATTCGTGAAGTAGGCAACGTGGCAAACACTGAGCCAACAGGTATTACGCTCCCGTACGGACGTAGGCATAAAGGTACACTCTTACGCAGGGAAGCGTAATACCTGCTGGCTTAGTGTGCTGCCCTCTATGGAAGTGGCTGCCGGGCTCACAATCAATTGGGTAAAAAGAATTTCCAATTTCGGTTTAACTTAATACAATTTGGAGTGGACTTTAAAAGATTATTATTATTGGCTAAGAACTTATGAGCAACTTTATAAACTTTGGCGTTTGTGAAGCAACAAATCCTTTTTGTCTCTCCTGCGTAGCAAAAAGCGAGATATAGGCGCCGCTTTTCCGGTGACGGCGACGGCGGCGTCAACATCAAAAACTTAACCTAAGGTTAAGTTTTTGAATTTTTGATATAATTTTGAAAGTATAAGTTCTTAGTCAATGAAACTTGGCCTATAGGGTAATCAAGTATCCCTAATCATGTGAGTAGAATTTCAGATCACAAAGTCAAGGTCAAAGGTCATTTCAGGTCAACAGACTTGGACTATGTTGTACTAGCATCATCATCGAAAACTTAACCTAAGGTTAAGTTTTTGAATTTTTGATATCATTTTGAAAGTATAAGTTCTTAGTCAATGAAACTTGGACTATAGGGTTATTAAGTCTCCCCAATCATGTGAGTAGAATTTCAGGTCACTAAGTTAAGGTCAAAGTTCATTTAAGGTCAACAAACTTAGACTTTGTTGTGGCATCAACATCAGGATTTTCAAAATGCTTCTTCTTCGTTATTTTTCAACCGATTTTGATTCTGATTGTTTCAATTGGGCAAAAAGAATTTCCATTTTCGGTTTAAAATTTGGAGTGGACTTTAAAAGATTTTTATTATTATTATTATTATGATCAACTTTATAAACTTTGGCATTTGTGAAGCAACAAGTCCTTTTTTGTTCTCATCTCATCTGTGTTGTGGTTGCTAGGAGATACTGGCAGGTGATGCGGAGGTAGCACTGACGGGAGGAACAGAGAATATGAGCATGGCTCCATACACACTCAGAGGGGCTAGGTTTGGTACCAGGCTCGGTGAAGACCAAAAGGTATAGTACTATGTTTGCTCATGTCTTTGTTTGTCTGTTTGTTTGTTTATTTTTCATTGGCTACTGTAAGTAACGTGGTAGTACTATAAAATGATAGTTAGGGATAACTGTACATTTGATACCATGATAAGTAAACATGAGCTTCATTCGATACACGCTCTGAGGGGCTAGGTATGGCACTAGGCTCGGCCTGATAGCAATCATTGACTTCATCAAGTACTTGGTTTGCTTATTTAAAAGAAATTACCACTATAAAATGGTAGTTGGGGATAACCGTTTTTTGTCTAAACAGAACATCAGCTCTGTGATGTAGTATCTAAAAATATCAATCTTTTATTTAACTTTGTCAAATTACAACACTAATAATCACCAAACCTGAGCTCATGATATATGTCTTTCATGCCATTTGACTAAAGCTACCTAAAACGACTTAGCATTGGAAGTGTCTATACACCCTTGGTAAAGCAAGTCATTGATAACCAAAGCACATGTAGTCATATCGACTAAACCAGAGGCTTCAAATTGAGCGGACGTAGTCAAAGATCTATTGATTTATCAGTATTTCTAATCAGTATACAATGATAGGCACTTGATAAAGAACCTTGTATTGAGCAAAGTTCATGACTTTTTGCTGTTACTTTGCTGATACCTGCAAACCTGCAAATACTTCAATCTTGAATACACATTTACAGCTCTTATCTTACACCTGGAATAAGTTCATTAATTTTTTCATTGCAACATGTACCCCCTCCACACACACTCACACACTCACAGAATGTCAGAGCCACTATCAAACGAGGTAAAGATATGAAACGGTGAAAACACTATATAATGTGAATGTGACTGTGTTGTACATGTGGTGAAAATGTCTCTCACTCACTCTCCTGTTTTTTTCTTCCGTTTTTTCTACTCTCGTTTTTTTCTACTCCCCTAAACAACACAATGAAATCATAGAAATTTTGTGCATCCATTATCTTCAAAGTCAAATGTTGGGGGATTAAACTGTTGTCCCTGAGCCAGGGTATCTACAGCAATATTTACAGTGAACAATTTATCTCTCTTATTTTCCCTTTCTTTGTGTAGTTACAGGATACCCTATGGGCGACCCTAACCGACGCACACATTAAGACCCCTATGGGAATCACAGCAGAGACTCTAGGTGCCAAGTATGATGTCACTAGGGAAGATTGTGATGAATTCTCTTCGTACATGTACATTTACAGTGAAAAATTTTTCTCTTAATTTTCCTTTTCCCTTTGTAGCTTGAGGATACCCTATGGGCGACCCTAACCGACGCACACATTAAGACCCCTATGGGAATCACAGCAGAGACTCTAGGTGCCAAGTATGATGTCACTAGGGAAGATTGTGATGAATTCTCTTCGTACATGTACATTTACAGTGAAAATTTTTTCTCTTAATTTTCCTTTTCCCTTTGTAGCTTGAGGATACCCTATGGGCGACCCTAACCGACGCACACATTAAGACCCATATGGGAATCACAGCAGAGACTCTAGGTGCCAAGTATGAGGTCACCAGGGAAGATTGTGATGAATTCTCTTCGTACATGTACATCTACAGTGACAATTTTTTCTCTTAATTTTCCTTTTCTCTTTGTAGCTTGAGGATACCCTTTGGGCGACCCTAACCGATGCACACATTAAGACCCCTATGGGAATCACAGCAGAGACTCTAGGTGCCAAGTATGATGTCACCAGGGAAGATTGTGATGAATTTGCATTGCTTGGGCAACAGCGATGGGCAGAAGGTACTGTCTTTTATTTTTTTATTTTTTTCTTTATTCTTCCATGCTCGATGTTGCTTTAAACACCATATTGTTTTACACGCATTGTCATGAACTGCAATCATTATTGCTATTTTATATTACAATCACTACCCTTATCATTCTCTATCTCAGTCATGAGAGTTATCATTATTACCATCATGATAATTTGAATCACCACTAGTGTGATACACTTATGATAAAAAATCAGAATCGTCACCATTTAAACGGTTGATGGTTTGTAGTATATTAGCTTACTGCTGTGAGACATGTTCATGCTTGTAAGTAAACCACCAGGGGACTGATACCATAAGTCCCCTCCAAGAGACTTGGTAATGAGGATTAATGTCTTACCAAGGGTAGTAGTGCATTGGATTGGTTTTGAACCCGGGACCTTCCTGTTATGAGACCACTGCTCTACCACTGAGCCATCATATTCAAGTTAGCATTATCTCCACCATTGTCCACATTCATTTATTCATTTCATTCTCAATGACAAAAATTATGAATATAAATGCATGCCGTACACTGTACATAATTATAAATCAGACCAAAACAAAAATTGTAAATGAAAGGGGGAACTACATTAAAAGCCCTTAGGTCTTGTAAATCACATTTCCCTAATAAACAAACACATAATATGGAAATGATAATCAAAAACAGAGAGAAAAAAAAATTGAGGGATATTTTGTTAATAATAATGAGGCATTATATTTTCAACAGAAAATAAGTAGACATAATTAAGGATTTGGGGGGGGGGGGAATTCAAAGAATTGATTGTCTTTGACATGGATAATGGTTCCAATATCATGATATTTTATCACCATCATTTTGCTTGTATCTTTTCAGCTAACAAGGCAGGTATCTTTGATGCTGAGATGGCACCAATCGAGCTGGCCTCCAAGAAGGGACCAAAGTCTGTTACCACCGATGAACACCCTCGCGAGGCCACTATGGCTCAGCTTGCCAAGTTACCACCAGTATTCAAGAAGAATGGCTTAGTATCAGCAGGGAACGCATCGGTACGTTGAGCTTATATCTTTAGAAGTGACATAGTCGTATTGTTTAAACCTGAAAATGGCTGGTCATTTAGTCGGTCCCAGAAAAGATCAGTATCTTTGACCATCGATTGACACCCTCGTAAGGCCAATATGGCTCAGCTTGCTAAGTTACGGCTATTTTTTCAAGAGGAATGGCCTGGTATCGGCCAGGAACGTATCGGTAGGTAGAACTCGTATCTTTAGAAGTATTTTAAGTGAGTGGTCTCAGTGGTGTAACCCTAAAAATGGCTGGTCATTTGGTCAGAGAAAAGATCAATATCTGTAACCTTCAATTGACAACCCTGTCAGACCAGCCTTGCTCAGCTTGCTATTATGACTGTTTATTCGAGAAGAATGGCTCAGTATCGGTAGGTAGAACTCGTATATTTAGAAGTGTTTTAGTCGTGTTGTTTAACCCTAAAAATGGCTGGTCATTTCGTTGGTCCAAGAAAAGATCAGTATCTGTAAACCTTCAATTGACATCCCTGTTAGACCAGCGTTGCTCAGCTTGCTAAGTTACGACTGTTTTTTTCGAGAAGAATTGCTTAGTATAGTATCGGTAGGTAGAACTCGTATGTTTAGAAGTGTTTTAGTCGTGTTGTTTAACCCTAAAAATGGCTGGTCATTTCGTTGGTCCAAGAAACGATCAGTATCTGTAAACCTTCAATTGACATCCCTGTTAGACAAGCCTTGCTCAGCTTACTAAGTTATCAGTAGGTAGATTTTTGTTTTTAGAGGTATCGTATTGGAGAGGTCGAAGAAAGGACAAAATTCATAACCGCAGATGATCATCCTCGCGAAATTATCCTAGATCAACTACAAAGTGTGGGTCATTTGCTCTTAGATGAAGAAGGGCAAAATCCACTTTTGTTTGTGTCTCGGTTTTTATTATTGACTCTATACATAGTGGTTTGACACAAATTATTTTCTAAGGTAAATAGTCCATGTTGTTGAATGGATGAACTCATTTATAATGCAATGTTACCTGTAACCCTTTTAAAGATAAACTTGAGTTCTGGTAAAAAAAGAAGAAAATGAATTCTCACAGAATCAAACAAAACTTACATTGAATGTTCAAAATTAAAAATAAACGCCATTTGCCAAACAATTTTGGTAGAAAATGTATACTGGCTGAGTAATGAGCATAAAAATATAAGGAAATCCAGGTACCCGGTAAGTAGCCCTGACACTATTTGTGTAGTCCCATGTACATCTTTCTGTGTACAGTGCTTGTTACTTTACCAAGACTGGGCCAAATTTCTTATGATTTTGATGACTCAAGAACCTTGCAGTACACACCAATACTTACATGTACATGCTACATGATCAACTTTTTCTGATCCATTCCACACCTTTTCTTTCACAATGCAATCGCATGACCAGAACTCAACTATATTTTTAATTACTAAATATGCACATTAAATCTACACAAATTGAATCTAGTCATGACATTCTGTTGTTCTTTGTTGCTTTTTCAGGGTATCTGTGACGGTGCAGGAGCAGTGATCCTAGCCAGCGAAGAGGCGGTTGCTAAGCACAACCTCAGGCCCCTCGCTCGGATCGTCGGGTACAACGTTGCCGGGTGTGACCCCAGCATCATGGGCATTGGACCGGTCTACGCCATCAGGAATGCCTTGGAGAGAGCAGGGCTCAAGCTCAGCGACATGGACCTTGTGGAGGTGAGTGATAATACTTTTAACCTCTTGACTTCTGCATGTTCAAAGTCCCATAGACTTAACACAGGGACCTTCCACTGTGATTCTTTTCTTGCATTGAATATGACAAAGGCAGGCGCGGATCCAGGATTTCTTAGGGGGGGGGGCCCAAATTTGAAATAATGCGAGCCAAATATTGGTACGTTATGGTGACCAACAGTGACGTAATGCGGGGGAGGGGGGGTCGGTGCAGGGGGGGGGGGCGAGTTTCCCCCTCCCAGGCTTTGACGTTTCATTATATTATTAGAGAAAAAAAGACGATTCGTTGTACCGTTCTCGAAAATAATTCTCGTCTGAATTAAGTTTTTCTCCTCCCGCGCGAAGCGCGGAAAATTTTACGATTTATTCAATCATTAGAGAAAGAGGACGATTCGTTGTACAATTCTCGACTCTTAATCCTTGTCTAAATTCAGTCCCACTCCCTCCCCCTCCTGCGCGAAGCGCGGAAGCATTGACGTTTTATTAAACTATTAAGAAAGAAGACGATTCGTTGTACCGTTCTCGAAAATAATTCTCGTCTGAATTTAGTTTTTCCCCTCCCGCGCGAAGCGCGGAAAATTTTACGATTTATTAAATTATTAGAGAAAGAGGACGATTCGTTGTACAATCCTCGACTCTTAATCCTTGTCTAAATTCAGTCCCACCCCCTCCCCCTCCTGCGCGAAGCGCGGAAGCTTTGACGTTTTATTAAACTATTAAAGAAAGAAGACGATTCGTTTTACCGTTCTCGAAAATAATTCTCGTCTGAATTTAGTTTTTCCCCTCCCGCGCAAAGCGCGGAAAATTTTACGATTTATTAAATTATTAGAGAAAGAAGACGATTCGTTGTACAGTTCTCGACTCTTAATCCTTGTCTAAATTTAGTCCCCCCCCCCCCCCCCCTCCCCCTCCTGCGCGAAGCGCAGAAGCTTTGACGTTTTATTAAACTATTAAAGAAAGAAGACGATTCGTTATACCGTTCTCGACCCTTTATTCACGTCTGATTTCAGTTCCCCCCCCCTCCCGCGCAAAGCGCGGAAGCTTTTACGTTTCATTAAATAATTAGAGAAAGAAAACGATTCGTTGTACAGTTCTCGACTCTTAATCCTCGTCTGAATTCAGGTTCCCCCCTCCCGCGCGAGGCGCGGAAGCTTTTAATCTTCATTTAATCATTAAAGAAGAAAACGATTCGTTGTACAGTTCTCGACTCTTAATCCTTGTCTAAATTCAGTTCCTCCCCCTCCCCCTCCTGCGCGAAGCGCGGAAGCTTCTACGTTTTATTAAACTATTAAAGAAAGAAGACGATTCGTTGTACCGTTCTCGACCCTTTATTCACGTCTGATTTCAGTTCCCCCCCCCCTCCCGCGCAAAGCGCGGAAGCTTTTACGTTTCATTAAATAATTAGAGAAAGAAAACGATTCGTTGTACAGTTCTCGACTCTTAATCCTCGTCTGAATTCAGGTTCCCCCCTCCCGCGCGAGGCGCGGAAGCTTTTAATCTTCATTTAATCATTAAAGAAGAAAACGATTCGTTGTACAGTTCTCGACTCTTAATCCTTGTCTAAATTCAGTTCCTCCCCCTCCCCCTCCTGCGCGAAGCGCGGAAGCTTCTACGTTTTATTAAACTATTAAAGAAAGAAGACGATTCGTTGTACCGTTCTCGAAAATAATTCTCGTCTGAATTTAGTTTTTCCCCTCCCGCGCAAAGCGCGGAAAATTTTACGATTTATTAAATTATTAGAGAAAGAGGACGATTCGTTGTACAATTCTCGACTCTTAATCCTTGTCTAAATTCAGTCCCACTCCCTCCCCCTCCTGCGCGAAGCGCGGAAGCATTGACGTTTTATTAAACTATTAAAGAAAGAAGACGATTCGTTGTACCGTTCTCGAAAATAATTCTCGTCTGAATTTAGTTTTTCCCCTCCCGCGCGAAGCGCGGAAAATTTTACGATTTATTAAATTATTAGAGAAAGAGGACGATTCGTTGTACAATCCTCGACTCTTAATCCTTGTCTAAATTCAGTCCCACCCCCTCCCCCTCCTGCGCGAAGCGCGGAAGCTTTGACGTTTTATTAAACTATTAAAGAAAGAAGACGATTCGTTTTACCGTTCTCGAAAATAATTCTCGTCTGAATTTAGTTTTTCCCCTCCCGCGCAAAGCGCGGAAAATTTTACGATTTATTAAATTATTAGAGAAAGAAGACGATTCGTTGTACAGTTCTCGACTCTTAATCCTTGTCTAAATTTAGTCCCCCCCCCCCTCCCCCTCCTGCGCGAAGCGCGGAAGCTTTGACGTTTTATTAAACTATTAAAGAAAGAAGACGATTCGTTATACCGTTCTCGACCCTTTATTCACGTCTGATTTCAGTTCCCCCCCCCTCCCGCGCAAAGCGCGGAAGCTTTTACGTTTCATTAAATAATTAGAGAAAGAAAACGATTCGTTGTACAGTTCTCGACTCTTAATCCTCGTCTGAATTCAGGTTCCCCCCTCCCGCGCGAGGCGCGGAAGCTTTTAATCTTCATTTAATCATTAAAGAAGAAAACGATTCGTTGTACAGTTCTCGACTCTTAATCCTTGTCTAAATTCAGTTCCTCCCCCTCCCCCTCCTGCGCGAAGCGCGGAAGCTTCTACGTTTCATTAAATCATTAGAGGAAGAATACGATTCGTTGTAAGTTCTCGACTCTTAATCCTCGTCTGAATTCAGGTTCCCCCTTCCCGCGCAAAGCGCGGAAGCTTTTAATCTTCATTTAATCATTAGAGAAGAAGACGATTCATTTTACCGTTCTCGAAAATAATCCTCATCGGAATTTAGTTCCTCCTCCATCCCGCGCGAAGCGCATAAGCTTTATGTTTCATTAAATAATTAAAGATTCGTATTACCGTTCTCGCCTCTGAATCCTCGTCTCAATTCATTCCCCCCCCCCCCCCTCCTCCCCTCCTGCGCGAGGCTTTGACGTTTTATTATTAGAGAAAGAAAACGATGCGTTGTACCGTTCTCTATACTCTTAATCCTTTCAAAGATGTTCTTTGTCTGCTCCTTTTTCTTCCTACGTCCTCTTCCGATTCGGGGGACCGCCACCCCCCCCCCCCCCCCTGGCTACGCGCCTGCGGTCAGATAAACACATCTTGATACCTTGTCCGACCCCGCAAGCTCAGGGGTTTAAATTACGGTCAGATAAGCATTCAGGGGCCCGCCTTGGGGCCCCTGGTGGGGTCGAGGCGGCGGAGCCGGCCCCGGAAGCTCAGGGGTTTTAGGCGTTTAATTAAGGTCAGATGAGCATATTTTTGTGTATACCTTATTATTTTGTGACACTGGCAAGTCACTATTTGGCGTGGGGTCCAGGGGGCGGAGCCCCAAAAATCAGGGGTTTTAGGCATTAAATTACCGTCAGATGATCATCTAAGGGCCCGCCGTAGGGCCCTAGATGGAATCCAGGGGGCAAAGCCCCCGGAAGCTTAAGGGTTTTAGGCATTTAATCACGGTCAGATGAGCATATTTTGATGCCTCGAGGCTCTCGATCCCCGCCGTACCTCGGGCCCTGACATGTAGGAATCTCAAGAATCATATTTTTTGCCTGGTTGTAAATTTAGGAATTTTGTTGTTTTCCAACAAACACATACAAACGTATAATTTACTAAAAAGTGAGGAAAATTTCGGAAATTATGTCATTTCAGCATTATTTGTAATACACCGCTGTGGAATCAGAAATAAACCACGTTTGAATTTGATTTCCCCCAAGCCCCCCCCCCCTCTATCAGTACGCCAGTATCTCCTCTTTTTTTCTTTCCCTTTCCTTCCTTCTCTCTTATTTTTTTTTGATGGGGGGGGGGGGGGGGTTAACAGCCTGGGAGGCAAGGCCCTTTCGCCCCCCCCCCCCCCCCGATCTCCTTCTTCTCCCTTTACTTTTCTTCTTCCTCTTTTTTCTTTCCCTTTTTCTCCTTTTTTCCCTTTCTCCCTTCTTTCCCTTCTTCTCTCTCTTTTTTTTTTTTTTTTTTTGGCGGGGGGGGGGGGGGGGCCAAGGCCCGCTCGGCCCCCCCCCTGGATCCGCGCCTGGACAAAGGATGACACAACTGCGTACCTACTTATGTTCTGAAAGAAACTATTCGGGTGGAGAGTGACTGAACATTTCATGAGTACCCACTTTAGCCGATTTGTGTTGCCCCTATTTATTTGCCCCCTTGCTCTTATCTCAATAGCATGGTATGTCACACTGTAACCATTGTTTCTTACTTCGGCCACAAGTTCTTTGTACCGGTCGAGCTTTGTCGTGTGAGCAGCATTGGTGTTGGTCTCAAAGGGCACTGTTAGTGCTTCCCAAATAACGACGAGATGCGTTGAGAAGTTACATAAACATGGGATGGGATGGTTCCGCCCGCAACGGTGAAACCCTGAATATCGGCATAAACTTGTTCGTGAGGGAGGGACTCTTTCACAGTTTGATAAATATACCTAAGAACATTATTGTGCCTCCATTCGTATCTTTCAAGAAATGTTGAATAGTTTGCTAGAATGTGGTGAAGGGTGCCAGTTGTAAGGGGGCAAAAAGGGCACTTGTTTGTCAGTCTTTTCCCTCAACCTGTAAAGATTTGCGTATGATGGCAAAGAGTCAATACATGAGTTGGTTACAAAGCTTAATACCCTCTTAGGTAGATTGTACATTATGGATTTCCATGTGAGGTTTTCGTCTTCCAGAGTCAGTAGTTTCACAAACTGGCCTTGGCAAAGCAATGGTTCAACAGACTTTTCCCAGTATGTTATTGCATCATGTTCTTAGACGTTTTTGACACTCTTCTTCACTACCTTCCATGAACTATTATTAACATCTACCGTATCCTGTACTCTATTAAGATTTAGTTGACATTGAACAATAGACGAGGTCTTCTGTGACCATCGTGATTCTCTTTCGAGAGTACAATCCAGTGCGTATTTCACCAAGGAGTCCCCTTTGACTCTAGATCTTTTGAGTGCTAGAGTGTGGCTCTGCCAATATATATCAGACATCTGTGGTATATTCATTCCTTGGGTCATATGTACTAAGGCAACATTTGCCCCACGGGATGGGATTCCCAGCCACTTTTTGACGAACCGTCTAGATAGAAGGTCAAGTTTGTTTATGTTGGTCTTGTGGAGGGAATGAACTGTTAGAAGAAAGCGAACAGATGGTTGCATATATCTAGTATAATAATAAAAGCCTTCTGAACCGATTTATCAACAAACTTGTTCTCTACGAGGTATTCAACCAACCGGTTTGCCAAAATTTGGTGAAATACTTTGCTCACGCATGAAGTGAGTGAGATCATTCTGAAATTTTCGGGTAGGGAAGTATCTCCGTCTTTGTGTATAAGGGAAACACAAGAGACAGACCAATTATCGGGTGGATCATTACTTTCAAATGACGAGAATACAAGTAGCTAGACAATGGTGAATACAACCCATACATTAAGCAATCTGGACCAGGGGCCGAAGATGCTTTTTTCATCTGAAGCTTTGGTGTAATTGGATTTAGATTGAATTCACTTTTAGTGATACATATATAAAAATATACAAACAGATAGATAACAATAGTAGAAATAATGTACCCAAAGTCAAAGAAACACAATAAATATATGAATGTGATACAGTCAACTTATTACACATCATCAAATAAATTAATTAATGTACAATATTTCATAGTGATTGTATTACATGTAAACATCAAAAGTACCTTAATTTTCTTCATGGCAATCCCTTCTTGCAAAGAATAATTCATGTTCGTTTACCCATTAGGTCAATGAAGCGTTCGCAGCACAGTTCATCGCAGTGGAGCGGGAGCTTGGGTTGGACCGTCAGAAGACAAACGTCAACGGGGGTGCTATTGCTATGGGTCATCCTGTGGGGGCCTCTGGGGCCAGGATCACAGCACACCTAGTCCATGAGCTCAGGTAGGAGATCCAATGTCCAATGTATCCTCTGTCTACAACTGCTCCTGGGGGGTGTTCCACAAGGATCCTAATGCCCCACTGTACTACTTGTAGCTACTTGCTCCCTCTATATAACAAACAATGCCTAATCGGTGCCTGTTGGTCCCCCATGATCCTCTTTTTCTTCTGTTAATTGAGAGCTGAGTTGATGAGATAACCACTTGCCAGTGACCTTGCTGGGTGGTCTAATCCCTCCTGTCCACACTAGCTCAGGCGGCCTTTAAGTTGAACTTATCTCTAACAATTATGGAAAGCTGTTAGCAAAATATTTAGTAAAAGTTTTTTTAAAAGGCATAAAATGTTGATTCAAATCATTCATATGTTCTATTATCATGGGAGATTTCATGGTCTTGATGCGGAATTTATAACAAGTCTACAATACTTCAATTTTTGCTTTTGAATATGTTTCATTATAAGGCTACAAATGGCTCTTCATAATTTTAAAGTCCAATTTAGAGTAAAGTTCGACTTAGAATCTATGTAAAACAGCCCCCTGGGTTTAGTTTGTGTTCATTATTAACACTATTGTTATCATAATTATTGTTGTAATTATTATTATTATCATTATCATCATCTTCATCATCATCATCATTATGTAGAGGTGTCGTGGTCGAGTGAATAGGTCGCCGGACTGTCGATCACAAGGTCTGCGGTTCGAGTCCCGCCGCGGCACTAATGTCCTTTGGCAAGACATTGATATACATTTGCCAAAGGCAACCCTTGTGATGTTAATGGGTACCTGGCAGTAATTAATTAATAGAGCGCTGTAATGGCAGCCGTGCTAAAGCCAGGGTAATAATCTCCCTCTGCGCCTCAGACAGAATAGTTTACCCGAGTAGATGGCGCATTACAAATGCTGTAGTATTATTATCAACATCATCTTCATCATTATCTACTATCATTATCATTATGAATACTTTTATCAATATTGTTGTTGTTACTGATGCAGGGGGTGTTTCACAAAGATTCTAAGTAGAACTTAACTCTAAGTTGGACTTAAAAATTATGGAAAGCCATTAGCATCTTTGAAAATATTTGGTAAAAATATTTTTGAAAGGCATAAAATGTTTATTCAAATCATTCATATTTTCTATCATTAAGGAAATTTCATATTCTTGTTGTGGAATTTATAAAATGTCTAAAATACTTGAATTTCTGCTTTTGAGTATATTTCATTTTAAGGCTCCAATGGCTGTCCATAATTTTTTAGTCAAACTTAGTGTTAAGTTCTACTTAGGATCTTTGTGAAACACCCCCTGGTTTTGTTGTTGATAGTATCATTATCATCATATATTTTTTCTATTCTATTCCACTTTATTCTCATCTGATACAGACGGAGAGGTAACAAGTATGGTGTGGGCTCAGCCTGTATCGGTGGCGGACAAGGAATAGCTATTATCCTAGAAAGCTTGTAATATAACCATCCAGCGACGACTACCAGACCAAACCATGCCTTTCAACCATGAAAGAACACATCTAGAGACAACCGCCATTTTTCTTTCCTTATCAATGACCTTTTACCGGGTTGACTCAGCTTGTATGAGATGGCACCATTTCTTTTCCCCTAACCCTTGCAATAAAACCGAAAAGCTCCAAGTAAAACATTTCAATGCTGGCACCAAAACTGTGCTTTTCAAACATAAGAACACATCAACATCCTTCTTTCACTCATCTATGATTTAAAACTGGTTTTGCTCGGCCTGAATCGGACTGGTTATTGTTCTTCTGTTGAATATCTTTCAGTCTTAACAAAAAACAGCAAAGGCCACTAGAATTCGATGCCAGTAAAACTGCACCTATGAAACATAAGACATTTAGACAATCAACAGTAGACCTTCTTACATCTATGATTTCTAACTGATTTTGCTTGGCCTGAATCGGACTGGGTATTGCTCTCCCGTTGAAAAGCTTTTGAGTATTAACAAACAACAAAGACCCCTAGATTTTGATACCAGTAAAACAGCAACTGTCAAACATGAGAAGAATTAGGCAATCAATAGTAATCCTTCCTTCATTTGATTTCTAACTGGAACGGCTCAGCCTGTATAAGCTTGCAATTGCAACAAGCAAACACAAGGGTGGTGTTTCACAAAAACTAACATCTTGACTTGACTTGAACTATGGCAGGCAAAAGGTGGTCAACAAGTTTTGATGTGTCTAATCTAAGATTTGCATGCAAATTAATTGGTAATCCAAAAATCTGGTGTATTCAAGGTAACTCTTCCACATTGCATTTGGAAATTCCCAATTATACATGTTATTGCCCTTATAGACGCTACCAGATGGATGTATTCATGTTTAAAATATATAGTTTGACATTCCAGATGATCTAAATTGTAATGTCATGTCTATCTATCTTTTGTTTGTTTTTTAACAATACAGGATTAATACATTACATGAAAATGTACAGCATTTGGATTTGATGGCGTGAACTTATTTGCTGTCTGCAAAAAGATTGTAACTGCAGTTCGAACTACATAGCTTTGTATGTTTGTAAAATGTGTTTCAAATGAAATTGCACACTTCATCTAACTTGTAACATTAACAATATCACCCAAAGGTGAGTGGTTTGAAGGGGTGAAGCTCACTATCCATGAGGACCATTATTCATAAGGACTGCTATTTATAACGCATGACAAAATGTTAAGCATTCTTTTATGAATAGCAGCACTTATAGGTAGCGAGCAAACAATAGATAATTTACCTCGCTATTCATAAGGACCGCCATTCATAAGGACCTCTTTTCATAAGGACCGCTATCCATAACACGTGACTAATTGAATAGCTGTCATTTATAAATAGCCGTCCGTGTGAATAGCAAGGAAACCCATATGAAGGGTTTTCAGTTTTGGTAGGAAGCTGATTTGAAAAGATTTGATAATTAAAATTTGCGTTTTTGTATTAATTTCATTTTATAGGCAAGCTCAAAAGCAGTGCATGCCAACAATACAACAAGATGAACAAAATGCCCTCAACTAGATCATCAATTCATCCTGGTGGGGCTATATGATTGAAAGCCTGATAAAATTAACTCCTGGCTGGTCTATATTGAAAAATCTGTATTATTTGACTTTACAACATTTACATTTACCCCAGATTAGTAAAGCAATTTATTTCTTTGGGTCAGATTTACTTCAGGTAATAGTTAAGTTATTTAGATATAATTGGATGTTTATATCACCATGTGTAACATGTGTGTTTATGAGTGGAATAAATTCATATGATGAAATTATATACGTTGAATGCTATGTTTGTTTGTTGGTGACTATAAAACAGTATTCCATGATTGGATTTCACATCTTGGTATCAATATCCCACTACTTCTCTGTCTTCCTATTTTGATATTCAATCTGTTGTATCTCCTGTACTTTGACTCTCTCATTTTTATCAGTAAATTGCTGGCGGAGAGAGGGCGCAAAAAGAAGGGACCTCTCAAATCCCCAGGACAAAGTACACATTTTGTGTGTATACGTGCAGCGGTATTGAGGGGGCAGTGCATGGTATGGGGACGTTGGGGGGGGGGGGGGGGTGTTACACCCACAAATGTAATAACACTTTACCCACAAATGTAATCATTTCACCCACAAATGTAATAACACTTTACCCACAAATGTAATAATTTCACCCACAAATGTAATAATGACTTTACCCACAAATGTAATAAATTTGAAGGGATATTTTGTTTAATTTGTTCAAAACTAAAACCCTGTAATAAAGCATGGGTATAGCGCGCAGTCTTTACTTCAGACCCGGTTATTTCAAAAATTTAAAAAATTTTAAAAATCTTCAAAACTAAGACCCCATAATCCTTTTCCTGTGGAATAATATGAGAATCGAGCGTAGTCTTTACTTCAGACCCGGTTATTTCAAAAATTTAAAAATTTAAAAAATCTTCAAAACTAAGACCCCATAATCCTTTTCCTGTGGAATACACCAGTTTACAGTTGTGTGCGCAATTTTAAACAAGGCCAATGACCTAGAGGTCATGTATTTACTATGCGTAAATTAAGATTGCGCCCATGCAAATTATGATGATATCACTGCCTGCGCGCTGCGTTGTCCGCGCATATCATCATTTGCATGGGCGCAATCTTAATTTACGCATAAATACCAGAGGTCAGAGGTTATTGGCCCCGGAACAGGGCCAAATTGGCCCTGTTCCGGGCCAATGACCCGAGGTCAACTGTCTGCGCATGCGCACTGATACAACTGTAAACTGGTGTATAATATGAGAATCGAGCGTAGTCTTTCCTCCAGACCCGGTTATTCAAAAGTTTAAAAAAAAAAAAAAAAAAAAATTTTAAACTAAGACCCCACCATCTTCCAAACTAAGACCCGGTAACAAAGCATGGGTTTAGAGCGAAGTTTTTCTTCCAGACTCGGTTATTTCAAAACTAAGACCCCATCATCTTATTCCTGTGGAAGAACATGAGTATTGAGCGTAGTCTTTCCTCCAGACCCGGTTATTCAAAAGTTAAAAAAAAAAAAAAAATTATAACTAAGACCCCTCCATCTTCCAAATTAAGACCCGGTAATAAAGCATGGGATTAGAGCGTAGTCTTTACTTCAGACTCGGTTATTTAAAAAAAAAAATCTTCAAACTAAGACCTCACCATCTCATTCCTGTGGAATAACATGGGTATAGAGCGTAGTCTTTCCTCCAGACGCGGTTATTTCAAAAGAGATAGAAATTTAAACAAATCTTCGAAACTAAGACCCACCGTCTTATTCCTTTTTTTTTTTTTTTATTTAAAAATAAATTACATTATTACATATGTGGATACAACACGTCACAAATAAATGATTGGTCGGCGGTCAGCCGGTCACACGAACTGACGAATCGGTCAAAATGGTCCATATATATATAACGCACAGAGGAGGGACCGATTTGATGGTTCGTTGACTGTCGACGATTTTTTAATCATGTAAATATTCTCGGTTAACAAGCAAATAACAACGCATACTTTCATATAACAAATCATAAATAGCTGTATAACGAGATCACGGGAAACATATTTGCATGTTTTGAATGAACGATTGCAGAACCCTTTGACTGATAAAATATCTATATACTCTCTCAATCAATGTGAGTAAATTGCAGAGGTTATGGTTTTATAGTAATGCAATGATGGATACATAGATTTTGTAAGATAGAAAGTATTTTATTCCAAACGAATGAAGAGGTTGTTTCATTAATATACAGACGGTAACAGAACCAAAATAATTATTACGTATAAAAAGGTGGAGTAACTCACATGTCTTTTACAAGCAAACAAGGTTATAATTTGGGCAATATTGAACCTCATTTTCAGTCATGATGTTGCATTCTTATTTAATTTGTTTTTCTTTCCCTAATCTACATGTATGTTCTGTATATACAGTATTATGGTTGATATTCGTTATGTATATCTTATTTTGAATTATATCTTGCATCAAAAATTTGTTGGCTTTTGATTGGTTGAGAGCTCGTCACATGACCAGAAATATTTGACCTATTTTTAGAAAGTAGTATATGAGAGTACTATTTTGGTTAACTATTTGGGAGTTGAATCATTTTTTTTTTCAAATCTTAATTTAACGAAAACAAAATATTTTAAATCTGTTTAGATAAACATTGACTTTTTTTTTGTTCTAAATTTTTTTTTCCCAAAAATGTTTTTTTTAATATTTTTTAAAATAAATTTTTGATGCAGGATATAAAACAAATATACCATGTCGAGGTACTGGTTAAACTATGGGCCTCGGTGACTCCAAAAGTACCATTTGCTTTGGGGCTGCGCCCCTCAGCAAATGGTACTATTGGAGTCACCTCTTGCATATAGTTTTAACCAGAACCTCTCAAGGCAGTGTATATTTGTATAGTATTATATGATATTCATTGGAACATGTGTTCAAATATGTTATTAGGTGGTCTGTCGTAGACAGATCACCTATTAGTTTCGTCAGGATTTTTCTTTCTTTATTATTTTTATTTATTTCTCCCCATTTTTTTGTGCCTAGCATAACTCAAGATGGGTTTAGTCAATTTCGTTTAATTTTGGCATAGTCATAGGTCATTGTCATGAGACGTGACAGTAACATTTTCAAGGTCATCAAATTATCGTGACGTCATCCAGGCGCCATTTTGTGAAATCACATTATCCATCATATCTTCATGATGCGTGAAGCATGAAGCATTTCAACATTTTCCGCCCGTACGTGTTCCCGCGCGCGTTGTGCGCGCTTACAGCGCGCGGAAAAGATCAAATTCATTTTTTTTTTACATGATTTCGATTCCTCTTACCGTTATTGACAGTCACTCTTGCCCTTTCATAAGGCCGTGAGCGTGCGTCAAAGTTCAAAATTCGCGCGTGCTGCTATGGGCAATACAATGCAAATTTGATCAAAAACATGCCATTTTAAAAATCGAAGTAGCTCTTCAGATAGTACGTCGACCAGGGCTCAAATTAATTTTTTGCCCACGGGGGCTCTTCCAAAAAAAAAAGAGCCCCCGTGAGCCTTCTCACGGGGGCTCTTTGAGTGCTGACGGGGGATCTTATTTTAATACAAATTTCCATTGAATTAGTACCCGTGAAACTCCTTGGTATTTGATCAATATCATTTATTTAAGTCGATATTTTCCCTCTTAGAAATTTACTTGTTACATAGCTGTTATTGACTTTTATCCCCGTGAGGACATTTTCTCCATTTCTTCCCGTTCTGCACATAATTTCCTCCTCATTATTCGGAGCAACCTTATTTACATTCTTTCTTTACTTTTAGTCTTTACCATATCCTTCCAAAATACAGGGGCGGATCAAGCTTTTTGCTAAGGGTGGGGGCCACCCCAAATACGATGTGGAGCATCGTTCACGAGCCGCGTAGCGGCGAGGCGATTTTTGTTGTTGCTATTGTGAACCCCCGTAAGTGGTGTTTTCCTGGCATCTACTAACATGCGGATCATCGTCCACGAGCCTCGAAGCGGCGAGGCGATTTTTTGGTGCTTTTTTGAACCCCGTTAGTGATGTTTTCCTGGCATCTACTGACATCTACTAATACTGTGTAGGTCTGGACACATGATAGCATTTTTCTATGCATTTCACATTTTTCCTTGGCAGCCCAAGGGGGAGGGGGGGGGGGTTAAACCCCCTAAACCGCCTAGATCCGCCCCTGCAACATCTTATGCCTTCTTCTTCTTCTCAATATTGATTTACTGGTCGAGTTACATTATTTGCTGGTCTTTAAGAATCACCAGATTTCAGAGGATTCAAACTTTTCACAAAACTCCCCCCCCCCCCCCCCCACTCAGTGTTATTTAGGGTACGCATATGCTCGTTCCCTCTTTTTGAAAGCACCCCCTATCTGAGGACTGCCAACATTTTCGAAACCCCTTTCGCGGGCTTTTTGCGGGCTTTTCCTGCCTTGGAGACCCCCCTAAATCAGGAAAAATGCTAAGTGTACCCCCTTAAATTCGGAATAATTTCTCAGGAGTCCAAAAAGATGAGAGAAAAAAAGAAAAAACACCCCTTTTTAAAGAAATCTCCGGGTGAAAAGTCAAATACACCCCTTTTTTTACAATTCTCGGGCCGGACTTTGTCGCACGAAAAGTACCCCTTTACCGGACATTTTGGCAACACGCATGCGGTCATTCCGACCCCTGAGTGGGGGGGGGGGGGGGAAACTTCTCCATGTTTCAGTCCTTGCGCGATCGTCGATCTCCAGCTCCAGCAGATATTGGGCGTCAGCGTGCACACCGGTACTACCAGCGCAGTATAGCCACTGTGCTGACGGCCCCACCGCGAGCTTCCGTTGTTTGTATCGGTAATACTCGTAGAGATGGTAGAGAAAGCGCCATCTAAGTTCCATTTCATTGGTTTAAGGTTTGAAAATTGATACTCAATTTTGTGTTAAAGTTATATTAGAAAAGATAATCTTTATTTTATAATTCCACGGGGGCGATTTTTAATTTTGCAATCGCCCCCGTGAGCAACCTGACGGGGGCGATTATGGAGCTCACGGGGGCGAATCGCCCACCGCCCCCGTGTATTTTGAGCACTGACGTCGACCCCCATTTTTTATATCATGGTTGGAAAAAGCATGAGTTGGAAATATGATTTCATACCACCTAGACTCGTACAAAGTGAAACAAAGTCATTATATTGGCATCTAAACTTTAAAAAAAAGTATTTTGTTGATGACGTCATTTTTGTCTTTGTTTAATTGAGATTATCTCGCTTATCGGTGATCGATTTTCT